ACTTTCTCGAAGTACCTATCCCTACCCAACCAAAGGCAGAACCGTGGCCTTCAAGGTAGCTTGATAGCTTCAGGAATAGCTGGAGCTGATCACTTGCAAAACAACTGCTGCATTCTTGTGTGTGCGTGTTTGTATAAACGTGCGTGTTCGTGTGATTCGAACTGTGGGCGCGAAAAGAATTCGAAAAGCACGTGATAGATTGAAGACACACTGAAAAGAGTTTGTTACTTCTGCGGTTGTGCGCGTGAGTGGCAAGTTTCTGTGGGATGTATTTTGTGACCAATTTTTAATAAGTAAATGAAAGGTGACCTTTTTTTCCTTTCAACATTGTCGTGGGTTTTTATCATATTTTAATTTTATGGCTGCAAGTCAGTAATGGCGAGTTCTTTCAGAGGGTTCTTTACAAAGGAAATGTCAATGCTAATGACGTGAGCGAGCTCTTGGGGTAGCAATACGTCCATAGGTAATTTTATTGTAAATAACTAATACTAGGAAATAAATGTTGGTTGTTAATCAGTTGGTGTCCTTTATTACGTGACGTCCTTGTTTGCAAACTGCAAACCAGCGATCATGAATGATTTGGGCGACTTTGTTACAGATAACGGGGAACGCGAACAAAGTGGACAAGGTCTTATAGTACCGATACGTGCATGGATGATTATATTGTTAATCACTACATACTACAAAAACAATTTTTATGGTTTGAGAGTTCGTTGCCTTCATTACGAAATTTCTTCATTTCATTAGCCGTGAGTGCTCAACCACTGGTTGCATTGTGCCTCTGGGATGCAGCCTCCTCCGGCGGGTCCGAGGATGTAACCAGGTCGGCAGACGCATCCCACCACGCATTCTTGGCTGCACTCTTGGGTTACTGGTTCGCCACAGACGCGGGGACATAAGCTTCCGCATTCATCGTAGACCTCTGTTCTCTGGCAGCCCGGACTCCAAAATTCTCCTACGGATGCGTCTGCGCCGAGTACATATTTGAATATGCATGTAACTGCATGCTACTACACGGCTAATAAAAAAGGTCAGCACGGAGTAACGGCACAGCAACGCAAGATTTTTTTCATGAACAAGACGAATGAGGGCGAAGAATTGCATGCAGCGAATAGCAACATGAATATTCAGAAAAAACTCCTGGACTACCACAAACACAAATAGGTGTGAACCGTATCAGCAACGCTCCCCGTGCCGGATATGTAACACCTAAGATTATTCTGTTCATAAAAGTAGCCTTAACCCACCGTCGCCTTGTCCATTTCGTCTATCAGCACTGCCCACATGTAGCCACGCGCTGACACACCCATTAACGAGCAGTAGATGGCAGCTGTGGGATCGGTCAGCGTAAGCTACCTCGATGTGGTGAGTCCCTGATGTTCGCCCCTCTGTTTAGCAGACTGCTCTAGCACAGGTTATAGTAGTTTATAGAAAGGCTGTGAAGCATTGCAATGCACCGTGACCATTTCAGGCGAAGAAGCAGTGCGAGAAAGCAATGTTCACCTGGAGGGTGAAAACATTTCAGTGTTGAGAATTTATGCGTTTCCTGCTTGTAGAATTTTAGTGAGTATGGCCAGTAAGTTCTAAACTTAGGCAAACATCAAGAGCTTCGTGTGAACGATCGAAAATTATAAAGTGAAGGAACTCATCTAAACTTGCGAAAAACTACTCCTTACTCGGGGCCTTGTGAAACAAAAGCAAGTGGTCCTAGAAAACTTGAAAGAGAGAGTAACGGCTGAGATTGGCGATGAGGCCTGGGTTGATATCAAAGAACACTGTGAGCGGAAAGTGACTCAAAGAAGAGAACTCACTGAGCGCCAGGACGCACAAATGAGAGGGTTCCTTGAGTGCAAGGAGGTTGAAAGACAGGAACGCCTTGGCATGAATAGAAAATAAAAAGTGCTCCGACAGTTTTCGCAGGTGCCTAGCACAATTTCTGCGAAGGTTGAAGCCGACAGTCATAAATTTAATGCTAACTAGGACCCTTTTCATACTAGGCCAAAACATGACGAAATGTCTCGTAAAGTTCGAACATGTCTGTTTCCGAAATTCCACCAAGGCGTCTTTTTGGGCTTAGAGCCTGCTGGCTTTCCTTGTTGTGGCGGAAGTATGCGGTATGATAACAGGCTTGTCGAAGAGACGTTTGAGATGGTATACGGTATTAGTGAAGCCGGCATAAGTCGTCACCCGAGGGTCCCCGGCACTGGGTTCTGGTATGCACAATGCCTAATTAGTCGCATGTTGACTTTTCGTGACAACCTAATACGAATTTAACTAATCGTATGAAGGGCAAAGGTGCTTATGACGATTGCGATAATAGGATCAAAAGCATTAATTTGCAGCTATGCTACCGCTGCATCGAGTATGACGTCAAGGTTTGGCTGCAGGATGAACTTGACATGGTGTTGCTAAACAAGGCAGTAGAGTAAGATGAAAAGCACTACACTCGCCGAGGCTTCCATAATAGGCCATTGCGTGTTGCAAATGCTGAGAAAAATGAGGGCTTTTGAAAGAAACCTGACCGACGGAAACCCACTCCAGACCATAATTTCAGAAAGTACTCTTCTCTTAGAAAGGACACTATGAAGTATAGGCAAATGGCAGCGCAGAAATTGAGTCAGGTTTATAAGAAGCGCACTGACACTGCCCTGGGCGTTTAGGTCACGGAAGCCACAAATCAGTTAATGAATGTAAAAAAGAAGGGCATACTTATCTAATTAAAGTGCAAACATAAGGTTCCATCTGCAACTTTCTTCGGATCCGAAAAGAACATTTGGTTGTTAGAGCCGTATACTCAGAATATTATTTAGGCTGTGAAGACAAATCTTGTGGTTCAAGATTCAAGGGAGAACATGGACAGTGTCTACACTTTGTTCGTGTCCCCGAATGACTTTACGAGAGAAGGCGTATGAATCAGGCAAGTTGCGAGGAGCAAAGCACTTGCTTACCGACCACTACGAAGATCATTGAAGGCTATTTTGACAAGTTTTGCTTCGAAGTCAAGTCCCAATCAGTTTCTTCATATTTATTTAAATAACTCTGAGCATATTCTAAGAGAGAACGCTAAACCTTTGTTTTCCGGCGTGCCGTAGAGTCGGCCGGAACTTTCGCCATTCTGTGCAGCGGCCACTTTTTTGTCTTTCAGCGCCAAATTATAGAACAAAATTACAAAAAATGCTTTGTGGCCCTACGCTCTGTAGGCGTGCACTTATCCTCGCCTTTTTTAAAATATAATTCAGTCGTGCGGCAAAGATACACAAAAAAAACTGCCACTCACGCATGATAGCTAAAGTTTTGGCCAACTGTACATTGCACGCACGCAATTGCAAGCAGGACCGCTTTCTTTGCAATGCGATCTCGTTCAATGTAGTGAAACAGCACTTGCAAAGATGACCGAGCTGTGCATTGCATCCTTGGCAGTGAATTGACCAAGCTTGCGACTGAATACTCTAGGAGATAGGATCCTCGAGCCGGCCACATCTCAAGTGAGCAGCGTCGGTTCTGTCGGCGAGAAAACAGAAGGAGTGCCACATGGTGAGACAAGCAGTACAATCACACCTGTAGGTGGAAGATGGTGTGAGGTGTCGTGGGCTAATCAAGAGACACTAATTTGAGAGCAGTGTGAGGACCTCTTATGTAATCGCTGACGACAAGTGTAATATTAGGTTTAAAGATAAAAATGAATAGTTTGTTTTCATAACAAATCGTAGCTGTTGTATCTAAGGGAAGAAATTTTGGAATTGAGAAAGCTAGATCGGCCTTTGATACTACAAACGTATCATTGTCATCAATTATAACTTGCACATAAGTATGCTGGACACGCCATACCGTCTTAAAAAGATGAAGCCTAGCATTTTTTTTTCAATTGTACGGACGGATGTCCTGGCAGTGTAGATGACTTTGAGGGCTCTAGCGACACAAGTCAGAAGGTGGTTAGTTCGAACATGTATACGGTGCCCATGAATAGTGCATCAAATATAGTGGAACCTTATCGGCGCTCAGTAATTGAGATTTTAGGGCCATTGTTGGAGTCAATGCAAGGTTTTCGATACATCCACACTGCGCTGTGCGCAGCCACAAAATGCTTCTCACAGCGTGGACGCTGCGCTCTAGATATTCGTGCCTATTAGATTTGCTTCCTAAGTACAATGCCAAAACGGCATAATCTTTGCCAGCTGCCATGCCTCTACCTCTGTATAAATGCCTCTGTAAAAATGGGAAATCAAGGTGGTGAACACCTCTATCCATTACCAGTAGTCTAATACGGCAGGGCACAGACATTCTATTCTGAAACGAATAGAAAGAAGTCTTTCTTATGAGCACGAAAGTAACTGGGAAGCATGTATTCCTCCCGGCATGCGTTCTGCAAGTCCTGCTCCACATGAGAACCCACCGCGGTGGTCCTCGGCTGCTGACCCGAAGGTACTCGGCTGCTGACACGAATGTCGCGGGAGCGAATCCCGGCTGCAGCGGCTGCATTTCCCATGGAGGTGGAAATGTTGTAGACCCGTGTGCCCAGATTTTGGTGCACAGTAAATAACCCCAGGTGGTCGAAATTTCCGGAGCCCTCCACTACGACGTCTCTCATAATCATATCGTTGTTTTGGAACGCTAAACCCCACAAATCAATCAATCAATGCTCCACATGAGAACACTGGCTTTAGCCTGGCAGAGTTTGTATATTAATAGGGTCATTGCGAGTGCTACGCGAATCATTGGAGGGATTTGATGAGGAGCTGTATGTGGTCACGTAATGCTATAAACCTCCTTCGGAGGCTTGGAAAAAGCAAGAGTTCTTGCGATGTGCGCATGGAGGCTATGAAAAATGTTGAGCCAAACTTCGTGAAACCAGCCGGAAGTTGTGCTTTTGAAGTGGGAAGTAAGGCGACTCCGCTGCGGTCGTCCAATAAGAGTAAGCTTGAGGTTTAAGCTGCTGACCCAATGACGAGTGTGGAACACATTTGTTTATTTTGTATAGAAATGTTTCTTTACTCACCATCCACTTGTTCGCTTTGTTTATCAAATAGTCCCTCAATCTGCTTCACGATGAGGCGCGCAAACTGGTCGAAGATCCGAGCCTGAGTACGACCTGCGGAAGCGTGTTCGCCGAGTACATATTTAAATATCCATGTAAGCACACGTGACTGAACAGTGAATGAAAAGACATGAGCACGTTGAAAGGGCGCAAGAAGGCAGGATGTTTTCAGACATGAAAAATTGGCAGATCCCACGTACAGTAGGAATCGATAATATGGAAAGAACGAATGAGGAAGGTTTATATGTCACTTTAAAAGCAGCACAAAATTACGAGGCGGAGGAAAATTATGCAGTACATTACTTAGATGTCATGATTATCATATTTGAACTTGTCATTTACCTTCATCGTTTACTCACGTCAACTGTACCAAATTTCGTATATGTGTAGCTAGCGAAACGGCCGTGAGCGTGCTAAGAGTGTACATGTAGTCAAGTTTTACATCACACGCAAGCCATGATTATGAAATTTGGACGTGTCATTTACCTTGTTCTTCTGTCCACGTCACGTGATACCAAATCTGGTGTATGTGGAGCTCGCAAAATGCCCACGAGCGCAGCTATAGCATGGCTATGTTGTCATGTTCTTACATGGCACGCGTGTCATGATTTTCATGCTTGCACCAGTCATATACTCTTCATCGTCAATTGACGTCACGTAATACCAAGTTTAGGTATGCGTGGAGCTAGCGAAACTGCAGCGAGCGCATCATAAAGGGCCCAATATACTCCGACGTAACGTTGACGCGCGCGCCCGATGGGCCCAGCGACGCTACACTAGCAAAACGCGAGCACTCGAACGCCAGGCGTGACCGGCTCGACCAGCGTCCGTCGGCGCGGCCCAGCAGCAACCGGAGCCAAATGAACATGCCGCATTTTGCATTGATGACTTTACCAAGCTCTAATCAGACATCACTGCTTCTGCCTGTCTTCCCAATGAAGGGTCGCCGGGAGTTCTCAAAAGTGCACGCGTCTAAGCAATGCAGCAACGTCTGCTAGTTTGGGGTAGGCAGATCAGCGCCTGGCGTGGACATCGCCGCCGTGACGCGACAAAACGAACGCTGTGCATGCGCCGGGTCATGTCGTAGTGTATTGGCGCCTTGAGTATGGCATGTAGTCATGTTATTACAGTATGGAACGCATCTCATGATTATCTAGTTTACACTAGTCACATACCTTCGTCATTTATTCGCGTGACGTGTGACGTAATACCCAGTTTGGCCTATGCGAAGCTAGCGAAACGGCAACGAGCGCATCATGAGTGTGGCATGTAATCATGTTTTAGATGACACGCCTGTCACGGTTATCATGTTGGAACGTGTTTTTTTTACCTTCGTCGTCTATTCGCGTCAAGTATTACGAAATTTGATATTTGTGAAACTAGAGAAACCACCGCGAGCACGCTAATGGGCGTAGCATAGAGTCATGCTTTACATGACACGCATATCATGATTATCATGTTTGGACGTGTCATTTACGTTCTTCGTCTATTAACGTCACGTGATACCAAATTTGGTATAAGTGAAGCTAGTGAAACGGCCACGAGCGTATCATCAGCGTGGCATGTAGTCATGTTGTTACATGACACGCATCTCGTAATTGTCATGTTCGCACCAGCCACGTACCTTCATCATTCATTCACGTACCGTAACACCAAATTTGGTATATGTGAAGCTAGCGAAACAGCTATGAGCGCATAATTAGAGTGGAATGTAGTCATGCTGGTACATGACGTGCATGATGTTTCTTGACACGCCTGTCGTGATTTCCACGTTAGGGTCTGCCACCTAAGTTCTCCATGCAGTCATGTCTTATCATACCAGTTTTGCAACGTGTCATGTGAAGGAAACGACCGCATCAGAAGTAATACTATGAAATGTAAATCAGGATATTCATGACATACATATCGTGATTTTCATGTTATGGCTTGTCAATTGTGCTCGTCATACAGTCATGTTAGGCCATACCAAGTTTGAAGTTGATACTGTTATCGAAACGACCAGGAGGGCAAAAAGTCGTAGGCGGCTAGATAGATAGATAGATCGATAGATAGATAGATAGATAGATAGATAGGTAGATAGATAGATAGATAGATAGATAGATAGATAGATAGATAGATAGATAGATAGATATGCTCAGAGCCGCCAAAGTTCGATAAGAAATGCTTCGCATTTAATGGAAGCATGGTCTTACACTCAGCTTACACGACACCAACCAGGCAGATAAAGTGTGGTCCGCACCCATCGTCATGGCTACGCTTGGCGTTGACTGATGCTGCCACGTTTAATGCACGTATATACTCCAAAAAGTAGACGGTGGAAATAGTCGAAGTGGTAGCTCAGTTGGTAGAGCATCGGACGTAATAATGGAAGGTCGCAGGTTCGGTGTCCGCTCAAGCCAAGTCTAATCTTTTCGTTCACCTTTTTTTTCACATTTACGTTACAAATACTTCTGATAACATCCCCTATCCTTTCCTGGACATTATTAACGATTATAATCAATAATATTGTATCCAGCCTGTCTCAACTTCCTAAATCGGCTGCGCTTCTCAATAGTGAGTCTAAATTTCTGTCTGGTTATCGAACAGCTAAATCGTTCCTCCAGCCTCAAAAAACAAATAATGCATTCTATGCTGTTTGTGGCCGTATTGCATGCAAGTTTCAATAGCTGCGTACGAACAAAACCAAATGAGACCCTCGTAGTATTTCTGTTCTTTCTACATACGCACCTTGAGGCGGAATGTGGCGGCACTCTTGCGCCACATTCTGTCTCGTGGTAGCACTGGCACGGCAATGCTCAGCATTAGGTGGACATATATCCACTAGCAAAAGCGTTCCCTTAAGGACAATACATCAAATTGCAGAACTGCGGTCGGCCTGAAGACAATGTCCTTTAAATTTTGGCATTTGCGCATAGCGTAAGGACAATACTGGATATAAGGAATATTCCGCTAGAAGTGCCGTGAGTTATTCACATGATGAGGTCACATGCGTATCATGGCACAGTTGTGTTGTTGAGCATTTACAACAGCGCCTGACGTCGGGAGCCGCAACCAGTAATGTTAAGTTCTCGAAAAAAATTGTGTGTGACAATTGTCCAACAATATGGAATCGAAAGCGAACATCAAGCTTTGGTGAAATATATAACAGGGAGAGTCACTGGGGTCTTATTCGAGCTGCCCTTAAGAACTTATGTTTCTTGTCGAAACTGCGGCTCCAGACAAGTTCGCCATTCAGAATTCAAATACATCCCATCGCATCATAACTTTGCTATGCCAGGTGGGTATTGCATTAAAGCTGGTATATCAGAGAAGGAGAGGCGGATGGCTTGTCAGTCTTTATTCCGCCGAAATTGTGCTGAACTATATATATATATATATATATATATATATATATATATATATATATATATATATATATATATATATATATATATATATATATATATATATATATATATATATATTTCAAGTAGATCATCCGTGAGAAGTCACAACGGGGTTTATATCTCAGAGTCTGGCCTTCAGCACGAAGGACGGTACGGTTTGTTGGTGTTCAGCTTTGTACAATCCTAAAGGAGAGAGTACGCGGAGAAAAAAAAAAAAGAAGTGAAAACATGAGTAGACCCCCTCCCCCATCCACCCCTTCCAACTTTTTTTTTTCGACGATCAAATTTAAGATGTCCGCGGCCTGCATATCCTTCCATCAGGTCGAATAGAATGGTCAGCTTAAAAACAGGCTAATTGTGGCAGGCCTCAAGGAAGCGTTTTGTGAACTTTTCTCATTTTAATTTTTATTATGCAGGCCGTGGACATCTTAATGATCGTAATGTCTCTAATTGTGGTTTCCAGCAGTGAAATAGGTGCCGTACAGTCTTTCCTGAGTGAATGGAAGATCCTCTAAATAATAATTTCAAAGGAAAACTATACTTGTATTTATGACCACATAGGGGGAGAACTAAAATGCAAGTGCTTGGCCTGATATTTTGGGCTGCTTACATTGCCAGCGAAGAATATCCATTTCGTATAAATTTTGTACAAACAAATTAGTGCCATTATTAGTGCCCTACCAAGTAGACGAAGGGAAGGGGTCAGATTGGCAGATTGAGGTCTGTGGCACTGAGACATTCACCCAAAATTCAGTTGTAGGCTTTCCTAAATAACGAAAAACTTGTTAAACGTTTGGAGCAAGGGATGTAGTTTTTCAAAATACATTGCCTTCACTGAAGGAGTCCTGCGGCGATATACGGTTCGTGAAATGCCATATACCTCTGTCAGCACATGGCGCGGAAACAAGTTTTGCTGTGAGAAATACTGTTTTCGCCCTTTCGTCGGTGGAACTGTGTGGCACAGCATCCTATTACTGAATTTGCGGCTTCAGCGATGTGCTCGCCAAGAAGGCGCGACGGATTGAGCTCAATCTAGAGAAATGAAATGCGCGAAATTCTGGAGTCACGCGGATCTCCTTTAGCTTGGAGCAAGATTTCCCAACTGCTCTTTTCCACAGCCTTCGAGATGAGCGGCCGGCGTAACATTTGGCCACCGACTAATCTCAGAAGGAGGCCATGTTCCTTCAAACAGCGTGCATAGCATTGCGAGTGACTCAGCGAAAGCGATCCCACGCAGATCTACGAGCTCCGTCGGCGATCTGGCCGAGTGCCATTGCAACTCGACATTGGGCGCAGTCTGCCTTTCGAAGCTTGCGTACAAATGTTGGTGGGGGCCTTTGCGCTTATCGAATCTCGTGTGGAGGCGCAGGCTTTAGGCAGACATGTCCAACAGTGTCTTGTGGTACATACGGCTTATACAGTATTGTGTACGCAAATATTTGCTCTCGTAGAACTGCTACACTGACAAGCCTCGATCATTCATGCTCTAGCAGCCCGTGTTTAACCTGGGTCTTCTGTTTAATATCGCGTAAATCATAACTAAAATTGTTCTGAGAGCTTAGAGTGTGTTGCAGGCGGGCAAACGCACTTCACGGAGAATGAAGACCTGGGTTTGAAGAATGCTTTTGCGTGCGCCGTTCATTTCAAGGCAATACTGCAGTGACAAAGCCGTTGATGAAACAAAGAAGTTAGCGTCAATTTTGTTTGTGGGATATATAGGGGGCATTTTTATCAATATTAGTGTTACCTTGCTCCTTGCATTCTCGCAGCTCGGTTGTTGTCTGAGGTGCGCATGAACTCTTATAAAGCCATAGCAGAACCAAGATAAAGAAAAGCAGTAGGTAGCCCCTGAAAGGCTGCTATGGGACGTGTGTCGTTTTCATCCACCGCAAAGTATGGTACACCGAGTTTACATGCTTGTCGACAGTTCGCTCTGTACATATTGAAGCTTCTTTTTTTATTTTTCGAGACTGATGACCCACTTCTCACCACCTCGTAAATATACGCTCATAAAATTTACTCATACTTTCATCATGCAGAGAAATATAAAACACTGCATTGCAAAAAAATATATCCATGAAGCATTATGCCACTCTTTCTAACCAGTCTTCAATGTGGCCACATTTTCGATCTACGTCAGCTTATTGTACTTGTCGTGACAATAAAACCAAGACAGACTCACGTCCGGCGCCTTCGACGGAATTCACAAGCAGCACAGCCAGTCAGGGCGGCGAATATCACGTAACGGGCCCGCATCCTCATGTTCTGCATGAACGTAGGCACAAAAAAAAGCTATCATTTTCTTTCTAGAAGTAGATGTCCAGGTACAACAAGCTAATTCCTGAGACGACTATAGCCTCGTGATATTTGAGAAGTTGAGTGCCAAATTAATGTAGATTCTTCGTTAAGAAAAACAAGAGCGCGCAGGCCATCCGCGTAAGCTATAGCTATAGCGTTTGCCTTGAGAATTCGGAGAGTTGTCCTTACTCACTTCTCCACAAGATGAAAACTGTGCGATGTGAGGAGGTTAAAAACTCTGTCAATATGACATGAAAAGACACAGGATAACACTGTATGTGCCCGAAAAATAAGTGGGACTTCAACAATGAAGAAATCATGTACGTATATTGCCACAAAAAGAAGGATTAGAAGGCGTTTGAAGATTTCTTTCAACGCTGACAGCTATACACAGCTCGTTCCGCTGAAATTTCGACGTCGGCGTCGTTGGTTGTGAGCTGAAAATCATCATCCTGTGCGTGACCGAAAAATCGAGAACGATGCAATGGAAATAGATTACTGACAAAATGTCCGGAAGCAAAGTATTGGGGACAAAACCAGTGTTGTTTGGGTTCAAGTGAGAATCGAACCCCGGTCGTTATTGCGGCAAGCGGATGTTCTACCACGCGGCCACGCCTCTGCTTGTGCAAACAGTGAAAAGAACTAACTCTGCTTAGAAAAGCGGTGAAAGTAGCTTTCATGCTCCACAAACACACGTATCCGTCCTGTAGACATGCTTCAAAGTGCGAACATAAAATATTGCTGTAATGATGCCTGGTACGAGTATGCGATGCCAATAGGTGTCAAGGAAAGGAAAGGAAGGAAAATAGGAGAAAAAGAATGACAGGGAGGTTGAGCAGCCTATAGGCAACCGCTTTGCTACTTTGAGCATGGGACCGGGATGGGGGAGAGGAAAGATAGAGAGGGCGTCAAAATATGTGATTGTCATAATGGCTCCGCGGTTGAAAGCCAGTATCCCACTTCAAAAGGCACACACGATACTGCGCCTATATTCTTTTAAAAGCACGTAGTGGATGCATAGCAAATCCGAAAGGGTTTCATACACTAAGTATTTGGAGTACAGACTAGGAACAAGATGTCGCTGCGCGTTCAACTTCTAAAGGCAAATATTTGGGGTCCCCTAATTTTCGACGTTTAACAGAGTCAGTGAGGTAAATTATGTTTATATGAAACGCTGTTATCGTGGACTGTGAGAATATTTGACAACTCTTCACAGCTTTACATAAATACAGGATACGTGCTGATGGATTTTTGGCAGTGATACTTCTGTATGAGGTCGTGGCACTCAAAATAGTGACGGGAGAGCGAAGACATTTGCTTTAATCTGAAGGTACGCTACGATCCTTGACCCAATTGCGCAATTCTTGGGCCATGAAATCAAGTTTTAACTGGTTCGACCCAAGCCGTCACAATGAAAGGTTGATCGCCTGAGTTTTTTTTTTCGTAAGCTTCCTCGCAATTTTTTTCTCTCTACCTTCACGATTCATAAGGTACTTGCATTGAACAGAAGTCTGTTTTGAAATTATTTCACATGAAAAGAGTTTTTGTTGTATACGAGTTGAAATATCCAGCTTAGGGTGCTGTACAGGATCGCCCTAGCTTGGCGAAACTCTGGATCTTTCCAAGCTCTCGCGGCACCCCCTTTTGAATAAGCCAACTGTGCGCAAAAATTAAATCCACCCCTCAGCTGACTGCGTTCCATTGGTTACGATAGAATCTGGAATCGCGTCAAGGACGGTCGACAATGTTAGGCGGTCTTTTCACACCAGAGGCATCTTCTTCCATTTGTTTGTTGTTCCACTGAGTGCCAAAGTGCACCCATGCAGTAAAAGTGTCAGAATATTTTCGTGTGTATATTGCCACGTTCCATTTCACAAGTTTTTGTTATCGTTCCGAAACACCACATGATTCTCGGCGCAAACCGCGCCTGCAGGTTTCGAGAAGGTCCCGGACTGTAGTAGATGATTTCGATAAAATCACGCCCACTGTGCGAACGGTACAGATTGTTCTGGAACCTACGCCACCGCCAGCGATAACGCTAGAACATTCGACGGCAAGGGTATAAATGCCGACGCGCTTCGCCGCTTGTGAGTTGTTGATCGAAGGCCGACGCTGCGTTCGCGGCTATCATTCCGAGACTGCTATCTGTGCAAGACTGCTGCTGTAATTAGACTTTCCCTTTACCGGGCACAGGTTCGCCCAAATAAACAGTTAAATCCCAACACGAAGTTTCCTGTCTTTGGCCACGTCACGACCCCGTGACATCTGGTGGAGGTGCTGGGTAAAGGCCGAAGGGCATCACCTTAAACTCGAAGAGGCCGTCCGGTGTTATAAACGCCGTCTTTTCTCGGTCTCTTTCGTCGACTTCGATTTGCCAATAGCCAGTCTTGAGGTCCATTGACGAGAAGTACTTGGCGTTATGGAGCCGATCAAGTGCGTCGTCTATTCGTGGGAGAGGATACACGTCCTTTCTTGTGATTTTGTTCAGGCGGCGATAGTCGACGCAGAAACGTAGGGTCCCATCCTTTTTCTTCACTAACACCACGGGGGATGCCCACGGACTCTTGGACGGCTGGATAATGTCATCTCGCAGCATTTCATCAACTTGTCTCTTCATTGACTCACGTTCTCGCGTCGAAACCCTGTACGGACTCTGGCGGAGTGGGCTGGAATTTTCTTCGGTTATGATTCGATGTTTCGTGATTGGGGTCTGCCGAATTTTTGATGACGACGAAAAGCAATCTTCGTATTGCAGGAGCAGGGCCTTGAGCTGTCCTTTTTTATCGTTCGGAAGTCTGGGATTGACGTCGAAAGCTATGGGTCGAACACAAGACGTGGGACGCCATTCTTCTGTATGTGACCTTCGCATACAACACGGCGGTGCAGGAGACGACGCAGATATCTCCATACAAATTGGTGTACGGAAGGAGCCCGGCAACGACGCTCGATGCCATGTTACCCAACGTCACCGACGAAGAAAACCTCGATGCCAGCGAGTACCTTCAATGCGCCGAAGAAGCCCGACAACTTGCGCGTCTCCGTATCAAGAATCAACAGACGACCGACAGCCACCGTTACAACCTTCGACGACGCTTCGTGGAATACCAGCCCGGTGAACGTGTTTGGGTGTGGACGCCGATACGCCGATGTGGACTAAGTGAAAAGCTTCTACGACGGTACTTCGGACCGTACAAGGTGGTTCGACGTCTTGGACCACTTGATTACGAGGTTGTCCCCGATGGCATCACGAACTCTCAACGACGCCGATCGCGACCTGAAGTCGTCCATGTCGCGCGCCTCAAGCCGTTTCATGCACGTTAACAAACTGAAACAGTGTTTTTTGTATTATTGTTGTATTGTAATTTATTCATTGTACTTTCTGCATTATTATTGTACCTTCATCTTTAGTTAGAGCATCGGGACGATGCCTTTTTTCAGAGGGGGGCAATGCCACGTTCCATTTCACAAGTTTTTGTTATCGTTCCGAAACACCACATGATTCTCGGCGCAAACCGCGCCGGCGAAAACCGCGCCTGCGAGAAGGTCCCGGACTGTAGTAGATCATTTCGATAAGATCACGCCCACTGTGCGAACGGTACAGATTGTTCTGGAACCTACGCCACCGCCAGCGATAACGCTAGAACATTCGACGGCAAGGGTATAAGTGCCGACGCGCTTCGCCGCTTGTGAGTTGTTGATCGAAGGCCGACGCTGCGTTCACCGCTATCATTCCGAGACTGCTATCTGTGCAAGACTGCTGCTGTAATTAGACTTTCCCTTTACCGGGCACAGGTTCGCCCAAATAAACAGTTAAATCCCAACACGAAGTTTCCTGTCTTTGGCCACGTCACGACCCCGTGACAATATCTTTAAAGACATGGGGGGTTGAAAATATTTTGAAGTATTTAATTCCTGCACTAAGTCTGATTTAGAATGATCAGTACGGTGGCCTCTGAGATTAATTCTAGCTGAGCGCTTCACAACATCGAGACCACAGCTCATTGAGTTTTATACAATAATACCTAGAGAGGAGTCTGACGCTGCGATCGTGTACCCTGAAGAAAATTATGAAAAGTATAGGCTATGAAGTGCATTGCGTCAGCTAGCGAACTGGCTACGAATTGATTTTTTTTACAGTTTCAGTTTCGTTCTCAGCGCAGCGTGGGTAGTGTTGTGCGGTGCAAAGCACTGAAGCAGCGTCTTTTTTTTTCAGAGGGGCTGAAGGCTACTAGGTCTAAGATGTGCAGTGGCTTTGGAGCTGTACAAGTCGCATTTAACAGCTTAAGTGAAGCGTCGTCCACTCACCGCTGCGCATAGATGTAGCGTCTCATGCCAATCCAGATTATAAATTACATCTTAATTCGACGTATTTTTTCTTTGCGTGTCTTGCCAAAACTCGTTTATATCGACTGTAAAACAACGGCAAAGTAAAGTAAACGCACCATCACGCTTCTCGGAATTGGCTTCACAATAAAACGAGAGGACAATTGGGGGCAGACTGCTTGGACAGACGCACCTGGCATCGCAGCAGATGAAGCGTTAGGAGTTTATCACTCAATACTGCACTGCTATTTCCTTAAAGAGATAATGCGTACTTTAGAGGTAAATATAAACATGCTTCTTTTCAGGTGTTGTAAATAGTAATTCATTATATATTTGTGCCGAATGAGAACGCAATAGCAGAACAATGCATATGTTAAATTTCTAAAGGTTCCACTTTCCCCTCATGGTCACAAAAACTTTTTGCAACAAGATTTACATACAAAAGAATGAAGCAAGTTTCAAATAGAGATACTTTCATATCACTTTCTTCAACACAGGGGAAACAAGCGTCACGAATATGCAGAACGTATTCTATCGGACGTTTGGGAGATGGGGGTTATCGCATGATGATGAGTTAGCATTCCCACAAATGAGGCGTTCAAATAGAGATAGAGAAGTAAAGACGAACGGCAGGCTTCTTGTCTGCGAGAGTTAATAGTTGACATTTTGTTCTAAGAAAAGATAGCACATAATCTTAATAACGTGAAGCGTAGGGCTACTTGTTTTAGCATCATGAAGTACGAACAGCGCGAATTCCACGCGGGGACACGCACTTGTCGGTGTCTCTTCTTGTGCCCCCATGTTGAATTCACGCTGTTGATATACTTCATCACCTTAAAATACTCGTTGAAATTGAGAAGGTTATAACAATACTCTTCAGCACGTTCAAGTTTAATTCATAAAAACGTTTGAAGATTTAACCGTGCATTTTGAAAATTGTTGCCTACTCCCAAAAAGAATTGAGAATTTTTTGCTCCAACTAATCAGTTCTGAATGATTTCGATGTGCTATAACAATGTTTTTCAACTGACAATTGTCGCCCTCTCAGTTAAAACTTCATTGGGTACAATACCGCCTCTGCGCATAGCTTGTGCATCCGAAACGTAAACTCATGACGTGACTCTTTTGTGCCAAGAAAACAATTCATCGACATTTCTTGGGTCTCAATATTTCACGGGAACCCAAGAAAATAGCATAACTTGTAGATATACTGTAATTTATCATTTAACGACGCATTAAATTTTGGCTCTTTATTCTAGGCACTAAGCCTGGACAGCAAAGTTTAATCATGGGTACCACAATGGCCACTAAACGATTAGTTTAGAGAAGTTGGAGAAAAAACTTTAAAGCGTACATTAATGGTACGTGTAGCAGTCATTGTAATAAAAGATGACAGGAAGTACTACTTTAGCAGAAAACAAATGGTTCGCAAGATTATGGCAAGCTACTAATGCATCAACATATTGAAATATTCAAACACACATAGATTGATGTTGAGCAGGATTTAAGTCAACCTTTTCTAATCCAGCTTGGGGATCTGTTATTGACAATATGAAGGAACGATGTGTATTTAGGGCTTCATTTTTTTGCAATGCAAATGAATGAACTAACTGAGAAGGACAGGTATTCCATGTACCAGTATTTTTTGTGACCATGCTATTTCAGCACAGCTTTATTTCAGTGCTGTTTTTATTTCACAGCAATTTTAGCACATGACTTCTTGAAACTGCAATATCTTTACTAGTATACACAAATACACGTATGCTGCGACAAAGTAAAACTACCGAGTACATATGATGTGCATTATATGTCAAAATGACGACAGGAAGCACAGCTATTAAAGGTTTCGATTTACTGCTTTAGAGGTTATAAATTTAGGCCTATGAACAACCAACCAGCATCTCTGCAATAGAGAGCGCTTGTTCCTAACTTTATGTGAATTAAGTATGACAAAATCTACTGCAACGAAAGAGGCCATGGCGTTTCGAGAATAAAAAAAATCTTGTTCTTGAAAACAAAAACACTACATTGCGTAGTGTGAGCAGCTGCCTAGATGTTTGATGCAACGTAAGAGCATGAAGTAACGAAATGCACGTACAATGCTTGTAAACGTGAACCCGGCTCTGCTTTGGTCTGTTACTTTTACCATAAGGCCGTCGAAAGTCAACGCAGAAATTTATGGACTCGAGCAGGCTAATGAAAAAACCAGAAACCTGCATCCGGAAAGGGGCCGATATTATGGAGTTTTTGTAGTAGCCGCATTAAGTGCTCTTTAAATATTGTGGTAGACAACAGCTGACATCCTGTATTATGGTCAAAAATATGACTCACGACAGAGTTCATGGTAAAAGACCTTTTAACAATAAAAAGAACTAATAATAATAGAAGAAATTCTAAGACCGTCACTTTCTCAAGATTATTATGAGAGTAGCCATATGATTCCAAATCGCAGTTAACAAGGAAAACCTGCGTGATTTTCAAACTGGAAAGATTACATTGTTAAGTTGTAGTAATGTGGTATTAATAATCGACGAATATGATACGAGTGGTATTCGACAAAATACCTCGCCTTTCATCTAGTTGCCTCCTTTCAAGAAGATAAAGATGCCCAAATCTGTTTTATGTGTATCAGCGTGGTACATGTGCTCTAAAGAAGCCAGACCTGGGCTAAAGTACTCTTTCACAGTGATGCTGCGGGTATACGATGCGTTACTGACAGAGGTCTGACAATCAACGACGAGATAACGCGCCAACACGTTACACTAATAGAGATAGCGTGTACTCACGTTAGGCCACAGAGCGCTGAGAAACCCACGCTCACGCCTCGAGTTCAGTTAATGAGGAGTTGGCACCATGACGTCTATATATACAGTCGCTATGCTTTCGTTCTTTCTGACTTTCACAGTGGGTGTGTTTAAGGGGCAGTACAGCATAAGCTGAAGAGCACGGACGATTGCCTACCACTTTCACGCCAGCCCACGCCAACGAAGAGCCAGCAAGCGAAGTTCAAGAGCCGGACGGCTTCAAAACGTTAACGCAGAAGAGAGGCGCCAAGTCGTTATATTTCCCGTTCATATCAGCCACTCTAGAGCTACAGGCATGCGCCGGACCAGGAACTAATGTCCTTACTGTCCTAAGCGCGAAATCAGCGGAGCTTAAGCGGCACTTACGGTATTCGAGATAAGTTTGGCCCGAGCAAAGTGACATCCGAATGTCCACTGGATACATGTTGCAAAATATCAGCGCGAACGAAACGAAGCGCAAGAAAAGAAGGACACGATACGAGTATTGTCTAAGGAATGAAGCTGAATGAAAACAAAATTGAAAGCAACAAAATCCAACAATGTTTGCGCAGAGTAATTAGGTGACGTGAAAAAACTGATTGAGCTTGCTTTTCTCGCAATCAAGCATAGAAACAGGCGGTTTTGATGTAAGAACCTTGCCCTTGTTTTTGATAAAGGGTGCTTCAGGAAGTTCATGTGGTGTTTTGTCTTTGAGTTTCAGCATAGAAACAGCATTACTGGAAAGAAAGTTTGCACCGACATGATCTGCAACGTGGTGAGGTCGGCGTTTCCTTTAAAGTGGTATTGTGCTGGTGAAGTTTTTCATTGATGCATTTACTGCACCGTTCTTTGAAGATCTTTCCCCTGTAAAGGAGAATCCTAGAGACCACACCAGCGCAGCATGGAACGGGGATTGATTGATTGATAAGTGGGTTTTAACGTCCCAAAACCACCATATGATTATGAGAGACGCCGTAGTGGAGGGCTCCAAAATTTTTGACCACCTGGGGTTCTTTAACGTGCGCATAAATCTGAGCACACGGGCCTACACTTCCGCCTCCAAGCATGGAACCGAGGGATTGCAATGTTTCATCACGCAACCTATACGCACTGTTCCTTTGCCCTCCTTTGAATCACAGCACGACCTTTACTAACGTTTTGGCTCGTAGAACAGAGAACGTCGACGTGAATAACTTTAGCTATTTTCTTAAACCCATGTGACAGCTTGTGTGCGTAAGGCAAGACTGCATATATCTTGGACGTATCGGCTGGTTCAGCGGCATCAACCACGTGGCATTTTTTAATCACAGTCTTTCTGCTGCTAACACACAAGCGCAGGGAACCTAGCGGGTTTCAGCAGATCAACCTGCTGCTTGGTAGCTATTCTTACATTTGTGCAAGGAAGAAGTCTTATTATAATTGTTGAGTATAACGTCCCAAAATGACCGTAGGAATATAAGAGACGCCGTAGTGGAGGGCTGCGGAAAATTTCTACCACCTGAGGTTCCTTAACGTGCATAGAATTGTAAGCACACAGGGCGTCAAATATTTTCACCGTCATTGAAAATGCTGGTCTCCACGGCCGGGATTGCATCCCATGACCTGCGGATGATTGCATCCCTCGAACCCGGGTCCGCTGGGTGCCAGCCCAGTATTCTACCACTGAGGTACGTCGGTGCTTGTAACTTGTAGCTTGGGCTAGTTGGTATGACATGACGATAGTTATTGCGTGAGAACAGAACGACTGACAAAGAGACAAGAAGGACGCGAGCAGCTGAGTTGGAATTTAGCGCTCGTGTCCTTTGTGTCCTTCGTATGTTTTTTGTTGTGAAACTTTCTTAGGCAGGCTTGACCTAGCACCAATGCACAAAGTGGGGCTCTAACCCGGGTCGGATGGGTGCCTAGCCCAGTATTCTACCACTGAGCTACACCGGCTGCTTGTGATTTGCTGCCAAACTTGCCTTAAGCAAGCTTGATGTCGGGAAAGCAATCAGCGTTAATACGAATTATAAAACATTTTAAAACAGCGAAAAAACAACCAGTCCTCGCACAATGCGAATAGTGTAACGACTGGGCCGTCCAATGCTTCTAACCTTCACAAAAGCCTGTTCCTGTTCCCCTATTAACTGGCGCAGAGCTGATGATTGCTCATCGTCGTCAGCCACTGCATGAACGATTGGCAAAAAACTTCTTGCAAGTGCTTAGCGGATACCACGCTTCTCAAAAGAATGACGAAAAATAGCATGCGTAGGGAATGACGGACTCACTATTAGTATGTGCCTTCCTTACTGCAGATGAGAACTCGCATGCTCAGACTGCTTTCAAAGCATTAGTTCCCTTCGCATCTCAATCTGATAAAATTGGTCTGGGTTCCAGGGCATAAGGGCATATATATGACTGAAATGGCAGATGCGCTGGCAAAATTAAGTCACCGTTAAATGGGCCTGTCATTGAGGTATTCACTGACATCGAAATTCTTAATAGGCAATAGAGTAAGAATGATACTACTATTAGAAAATTTTCTGCACCTTCACTAACAGCCACATCAGAAATAAAGCACTTACTGTATCATTAAAAAAAGGAAACTATGTCTAACACGAGGAATGGAAGTCACCATCACTAGACTGCACTGTCAAACTCTGCAGCTAAACTATTATTTACACAGAGCTGGTCTCGGCAGGCTTCCCTCGTTGTCCTGTTTGTGCAGTAAATCAGGTCAACTAAACATTACCTCATTTCCTGTAATAGATTTTCTGCCTTACGCAAAAGCATTTTAGGTGCCGTTTCGCCACCTTCTCGGAATAGATTTAAATGCGCAAAATGTGCTTTCTTTTGGGGCTTTGTCTCTTGGCCACAGCGACGTCAAGATTGTCGACGCATCGCAGGAGTTTGTCAGAGGTTCAAAGAGGTTTAAGTGTTGAAATCATTCTTCAGGGGAATTTATGACTTTTCCAAATTCCCTTTAAATCAAATGAGCAGGTTCATTGCTTTACACTACAGATTATTCACTGTTCTACTATCAAATTCCTCCTGTTGCATCTTTCTTTTTCTTTATCGTGAATAGATTACTCCTAACACGCTATTAATGAAGCATGTCATGACAGCTATCTGTATTTTGGCCAATCCCTCAGTGGGTTGGTGTGTGCAACATCGTCAAGGATGTTGACTTCACTTGGTTTGAATGCCTGCCAACTACCCAAATCAATTTATTTGTAATGACCTAGACGGTATCAAGCAAGTATTCTTGCATTAGTTACCCAAGGAGTGTTTAGAAAAGGCTCCGAAAGGCCGCTCTTCTAGCCTTTGCTGTGACTGTGCTGCGCCTTCCACGCAGGCCTGGCGTTTTTTGCTTCTCGCGTTCCGCAGTGGATTCTTCCACCTCACCGAATGCCATCTGAGGCCTTTCTTTCGCACTTGTCAGCGATATAGGGAATGCCGGGGCTGGCGGTATCTGGTTACAGTGTCACTATGGCGGGTTCATCTGCGAGAAGCGCGGAGATACATATCGGGCCAGCACCCTAGTGAGTCAAGCTGTCTTGGTACACTTACGTAATTCTGCCGCAGGTTTCAAGTTACGCGAAGGGTGGAATGGCACACCCAGACAAGAGAGACAGCTACAAGAAGCACAGACAAACCTGCGCTCTCTATGTTTGCCTTCTTTTAGTTTTCTGCCCAGTTTAAGTACCCTACTCTGTATACGCTCAGCATGTACCAACAAGCCCGCAAACTATCAGTGTTACAGTTAATTGAATGCTAAGCCGTATGTGTAACGGTGTCACCTGCGCGGCCCACACCTGAGTGGAAAGAAAGTTCATTTGATTTCCAAAAGAAAAATTAGTGGCTGCCATCACATCTAGCTGGTACATATGCGGATAATACAAAAAGTTTTCTTGATCGTGAACAGAGCAATGGTGATTGGCAATACTTATATTCACTCATTAATCAAGCAGCAACAAAGCCGGTGTGGATGTATACTCGCGTGGCGTGTGTGTGTGTGGATGACGCCCTTGCGGCGCGCAACATTAAGTGGCATGAAAATTTACTTTTTACCATCGTGAGTTCAGACTGTTAGGGCTCAATGTTTAGGGAGGACAGAGAGGTGACAGACGGACGGACAGACAGACAGACAGACAGACATATAGACAGACAGACAGACAGACAGACAGATGGACGGACGCACAGACAGACAGACAGACAGACAGATGGACGGACGGGCAGACAGACAGACAGGCAGACAGACAGACAGACAGACAGACAGATGGACAGACGGCAGACAGACAGACAGACAGACAAATGGATGAACGGACGGACAGACAGACAGACACACAGACGAACGGACTGCGCACGTATGAACAGATGCGCGAACGAATGCACGAACGAACGCCCGCACGGAAGCATGGATGAACACATGGACGAACGGAAGCAAGAATGAACGGACAAACGGAAGCACGCACGGACAGACTGACGGACGCTTCGCCCCACTCATCCTTATTCGCTCCGTGAATATGCTGTGATTTGTTCCCTGTCACCTTCATCTACCTAGATATGCCAGTAGCCGCTTCGCTAATTCACCGATAAAAAATATCGGGCAAGTTGAAGTTGATCCAATGAGTCATGTGTGAGTGGGAGAGGGTAGACGTTTTTCTTTTTCACTTTGTTGAGTTTCCGGTAACCCCCGCAAAATAAATAGTGCCGTCGTTTTTTTTTTCAACAAGTATGACGCGCTACGCCCATCCAGTGTTTGTGGGTTGGATGACGTCGTAGTCGAGCATCTCCTTCACCTGAAAACGTATCGCCTCTTGTTCTTTTTGCGACACGCGGTAGGCTTACTGTCATACTGGCCATTCGATATGGAGATCGATACCCCGCACCTAAACCAGAGAAAGTCGCATTATTTCAAACCCTGGAGGTCAAGCCCAACCCATCAACACGAGCTTATCGCCTAGTCTACTGCGTTGTCGCAACCGTAGATACACGCATCGGCATGGCCCCATATCGTTCCATACCCGTGGAAATATGTTCGTCTTAGAAGTAATAAAATCAGTTGAAAGTGAGCGCTGGTCCTCGTCTCCGTCACCTGTGTTCATCTTGAAAAAATGTTTTCGCACTGAGTAGTTTAATAATACAACACAAACTGGCCATATTTCCAGTTTACGTTTGCAACGGCTCGTATCCAGTGCTGTCACCGTTCTGCTTCTCCACAGCTACGGGAATCTAGAACTAAGGACCTTGACGTGCACGGCAATGCACTACGCAGCCGCATC